ATGTTATATGAAGAAGACAATTTTCATCACAGTGAAAGAGATTGTTTTGTTAAACATATTGCATTGATGCACAAATATACTTTTAGATTTTTAATAGCTAGGGTTCATATTTCTTAATATGGAATGCTAAGTACTGTTGATTTCAATGTTTTGTGAACAAAGACATACTAGTAGAAAAAATGTACATGATGTGTTAGAAAAGCATGTGTAAACCTGATGACTTTATATTTGCTGATTAATTCAATTATGAGTTTCATCTTTGTTTCAATGTAAACATTTCTAAGTAGGGCACACATCAGAAACTCTTAAAATTCTGACTATCAGGGTTTAACACAACAATTCCAAATGATTTTTGGACGCTTTTTATGTATCAATAAAAAAGACAAAACAGAATGTTTGTTCACAGATGTTCCAATGGAAAACAACCACAAAGAAATGATTTGATATGTTCTCTATGTGATTCATGTAAAATGTATTTTAAAATTGTATCCTAACATTTATCTTTTGCATAAATACATTTTTTGTGGAGAATTTCTCATAACTTTGAAAAAAGTAGTCTTATTGTATAATATGGTTAACTTTAAATTTTGTAGACTTAAAAGTTGTACATGATGTGTTACACATCTTACATATGTAACCATTTCATTTCAGGGCATTCAGCATATATTGTGGTTTTGTCTTAAATTTGTTTGTTCATGTAATCAATAATTTGAGAATACTCAACTCAAATTAGGTAATGCATGAGAGAATAGGCAAGAAAATCAGGTTTAAGAAATGATTTTTACTATTTATAAGGGGTTAGTCTATATATTGAATCTATAAGTACATTTAGTCTATACACTTAAGGTATTTGTTTATGAAATAAACTTGCATTTGAGCATTTTAAGACAATTGTAAACATTACTTTAACCAGTTTTAAAAATGATTAGATTCACTGTTAGCATGTAATTCCTTGTAAAATAAATGAGAAAACAAACAATTTTATTTGAGTCAGTTTTTTTTTTAAAATGTAAATAAGAAGCATTGGAAGTTGGGAATATTTCACAAAGTTGATTGAGCATAATTCTCACTAGGACAGTAGGAGTATAATGATTTAAGCATTAAAGAAACCATTTCATATTTCAATATACAAACCATGTTTAGTCATGCAGTATATTGTTTACACTTGCCAAAAAGTAAATGGTATCTCTATTCAGGGTCAATCCAAAGGTAAAAAAGAAATGAAAAAATATATTTCTCTTTATGTATCAAACATGTAGGTATTATTGCAATAAATTCACTGTATTCATTTTTAGTCCTCTTTCTATGTATGAATAGCTCTGATTTAGGCAATCAAAATACAAAAAGCCAATGAGTTATGTCAAATGATGAAGGTATACACCATAAATTAACATGGACAGAGAATTCTGAGTTTCCCTCAAATATGGTCGCCAAGTGATGTGAAATAAAAACAAAATGTGGATTCATCTATTAGGATTGAGACTTGTACATATTATGAATGATGGGTACTATGACATTAAGAATGACATGAAAGAAATAAGTTTGATTCAATTATATAAACAGTTCTTAATCCATACAGTCAAAATGGAGGGCATATATTTTTCTTTATAGGCATAAAGTAACAAACACTCACCCAATCCATCAAAATTTTACTTTTTGAAGAAAAGGAACCCTACTTACTTTGTTGAGTTGACATTCAAATTTTTTGTTTGACAGGTAGACTAATGGTTTCTGACTAGTATAATGAGAACTTTTTATTTAAGAGTCATCAGATTGTTCTGATATTTTGGTTAAGATATCTGCATGACATCAATTAATTTGTTCATACAAAGGGATAAAAGCTTTTCCAGGTTTCTTCTTCAGTCAGATTAAATAGTGTCTTGCTAAAATATTCAACATATAAGATACTCATCAAAGTCAAACAAAGGTAAATAAATGACCTTATTAAGTTTTTTAGTCAAAAGGTCAAAGAGATGTGGACATCTTGTTTAATTGGACAATTGTTTAGTTAATATTCACCAAACTTCATGGATAGGTTAATTAAACAAACTTCATATATTTTGATTTTCAGGTCAAAGATCAGCACAATTTTTGCTATACCATTGTTGTCCATGAATATCTTAACACCTCTATTGACTTTTCAGGTTCAAGGTCAATGCATTCCTGCTACAGTAAAACTTCATTATAAGGATCTCGTAGTGATATTCTTTATTTGTAAGGAATAAGGTAATTATAAAATCTCCTACTCTTTCTATAATATGTCACTGAATGTGCTCCTTTATTTTAGAGAGTTTTACAAGCAAATCATATACTGACTTTCAATCCTTCAAAATACAATTTATATTGAATCTTGAGATTCAGACTTTCAGACTTTTAGGCTTTCAGACTCTCAGGCTTTCAATCTTTAAAAACTTTCAAGCTTGAGGACTGAGTATTTTGATATTTATTTTGTAAGTCTTGTCTTTTATGTCATTATGATTAATCCTTAGTAATTCAAACTTTTCATGTTTGTAAAACTATAGTGTGAAAGTACAGTGTTTGTGTAATCTTCTTAATATTTATCTAAAATTACTGCTTTTAATACAGTCAAATATAATTTGTGATGATCAAAATTTCCAAATTGCCTGACCTGTACATATTTAAAGTTTCAATATCATACACTCTTGAATATCCTTAAATATCAATATATTGATTAAGCATTTGCTATCAACCATACACTTGTTAACCTAAGGAAGGCTCTTACCATAAGTTAAACTCATGGAATTCTTCAAGCAATTTTGAAGAATTTCTGTAATAAAGGATGCTAAAGACAAAAGACCCATAAATTTCCCAGAAGTAATAATTTTTAAAACTATATATCCACATTAAATTGGGGAACATTTGAAGAACCCTTTTCCTTTATAAAATTTTAATGACTGTCTTTTAGTTTTAGTTGAATTAGTTTCTTTCTACATGTGAAAATGACAAGAAACTAATTCAACTAAAACTTCATTAAAAATGTTCCCCAATTTAATGTGGATATATAGTTTTAAAAATTATTACTTCTGGGAAATTTATGGGTCTTTTGTCTTTAGCATCCTTTAAAACAAAATTGCTTGAAGAATTCCATGAGTTTAACTTATTGTAAGAGCCTTCCTTAGGTTAACAAGTGTATGGTTGATAGCAAATGCTTAAGCAATATATTGATATTTAAGGATATTCAAGAGTGTATGATATTGAAACTTTAAATATGTACAGGTCAGGCAATTTGGAAATTTTGATCATCACAAATTATATTTGACTGTATTAAAAGCAGTAATTTTAGATAAATATAAAGAAGATTACACAAACACTGTACTTTCACACTCTGGTTTTACAAACATGAAAAGTTTGAATTACTAAGGATTAATCATAATGACATAAAAGACAAGACTTACAAAATAAATATTAAAATACTCAGTCCTCAAGCTTGAAAGTTTTTAAAGATTGAAAGCCTGAGAGTCTGAAAGCCTAAAAGTCTGAAAGTCTGAATCTCAAGATTCAATATAAATTGTATTTTGAAGGATTGAAAGTCAGTATATGATTTGCTTGTAAAACTCTCTAAAATAAAGAAGCACATTCAGTGACATATTATAGAAATAGTAGGAGATTTTATAATTACCTAATTCTTTACAAATAAAGAATATCACTATGAGATCCTTATAATGAAGTTTTACTATAGCAGGAATACATTGACCTTAAACCTGAAAAGTTAATAGAGGTGTTAAGATATTCATGGACAACAATGGTATAGCAAAAATTGTACTGATCTTTGACCTGAAAATCAAAATATATGAAGTTTGTTTAATTAACCTATCCATGAATTTTGATGAATAGTAACTAAACAATTGTCCAATTAAACAAGATGTCCACATCTCTTTGACCTTTTGACTAAAAACTTAATAAGGTCATTTGTTAATTACCTTTGTTTGACTTTGAAATCTTATATGCTGGATATATTAGCAAGACACAATCTAATTTGGAAAAGCTTTTATCCCTTTGTATGAACAAATTAATTTAAAAATTTGACGAGACTTACCTTGGTTAAGTCGAAGTCAGATTGTAATTCTATGAGTCATTATAATTACTGTAGGGATTATGTGAGATAGTAGTACGCATGTGCAACCTCAGTTTTATTAAAACATTTGGTCATAATGTAATCATATAGAATATAATTACTTTACTTATATTACTTTATACATTATTGGTTGGATATCTATGAATATCTGAATAATTCTGCAGGGAGTGGTGGGAGGCACATAATCCCTACAGTAATTATAATGACTCATAGAATTACAATCTGATTTCGACTTAACCAAGGTAAGTCTCGTCAAATTTTCAAATTCTATTTCGTCATAATTACTTCCGGAATTATGTGAGACTTCAAAGCCCATTATGATCAAATGTTTCAAAATACAAGAAAAATTACTTGATCATAATACTATTTCACTTACTGAGAAGTCTCCCACTCTAATTGTTCTTTGAAAGTACACCTGATGCAAAACTTTCATTTTCAACTATGATGTCTTTTTCGTAAAATCTGGAAAATGTTGTAGCATTTGTCCATCCAGCCTTCCTTAAAATTTCATCTACTGGCACATCTACTGATTTCGCTTTTGACACTGAAGCAGATCTTACACTATGCGATCCAAATACATCTGTATTAACACCAGAAAGTTTCATTACCATCTTTATCCATCTAGACACTGTGTCTCTTGTAACTGCCTTATGAGGTTTAACATAACTTAATAGAAGTGATTGTTCTCCATTTCTAATAGGTGCTGTCTTTGATAAATATTCCTTCACCACAACATATATACAAAGTCTCCTATCTGGAGGGTGTGCTTTCATATGTACAACAGGCATTTTATACCCCGGTCTACATTGCTTTAGCAATCCAGAGTATTCAAATATATATTCATTAAAACACTTTTTCATATTATTTACAGAAATAAGATGAATTGACTGAGCTCTTGCAGCATTTGTCAAAGCGATTAATATTACAAGTTTCAATGTTAACTGTTTCAAACTTAAATTCTTCACAGGAGACCATTTCTTCAACAGTCGTAGCACTAAGGATACATCCCATGTTCCAGAATATCTGGGTTTAGTTGGTCTAATATTATATACACCTTTCATATATCTGATAACAAGAGCATGGGATCCAACACTGGTTCCATCTAACTTTATGCCCAAAGCTGACAAAGCCCCTCGAGCTGTATTGAGAGAACTGTAACTCAGTCCATTATCAAAAAGTAAAGTCAAGAATTCCAAAATATTGTTTACAGATGGTGAAATTGGATCAATTTTCCATTCAAAGCAGTACTGAAACCATCTTTTAATGAACGTTTGATACTGTTTTTTAGTACCGGTTCTCCATGATGCCATAATAATGGAGGTAGTTGTTCTTGAAAATCCAAGGTTTCTGTAAGTTCGCCGGACACTTGGCATGCAATCAAGGTCATTTTTTCCCACAAAGGATGAGCCTCTTTTTTGTGAGGGTTTAAAAGTAGATCCTTCTTTCTCGGAAGTAAAATTGGATTCTTGACTATACTTTTCATTAATCCTGTGAACCAAGTCTGAGTGGGCCATAATGGGGCAATGATAATCCCTCTTGCCCGGTCTTCCTGAATCTTCTTGATGCACAAGCCCATCAGACTAAAAGGTGGAAAAATATAAAGATAATCAAAATCTCTCCAATTCAATGAAAATGCATCAACATAACTACATTCTGGATCTTGTTTCCATGAGCAAAACACTTCAACTTGTGTATTAAGTCTTGATGCAAACAAATCTATATTTGGAAACACTAGCTTTGAACAAATTTGTAAGAATATATCATGATCTAATTGCCATTCCACTTGATCATTAAACTCTCTGGATAATTTGTCTGCTTCTATATTATTTTTCCCTGGAATATGAGAACACTTCAACCAAATGTCTCTCTTAATGCACCATTCCCATATTTCCACTGCGAGTTTATTGCAAATTTCAGATTTAATACCACCCATGTTATTAATATAACTAATGGCTGTAGTATTATCTGATAATATTCTTACATATTTGTTTTTCACAATATTCACAAAAGATCTCAAAGCAAAGTAAATTGCAAGCATTTCCAAATAATTTATGTGATTCAATTTTTCTTCTTCTTTCCATCTTCCACCAGTTTTGATATTATCTTGTGTACATACTGCACCCCAACCTGACAAGGATGCATCAGTTTGAATGGTAATCTCTGGATTACCTCTAGAAATAAATCTGATTTGAGAATGAATATTGAAACACCACCAATTTAGCTCTTTTTTCATTTGCATAGTTATTGGCATTAATGAATCAAAATTCCCTTTAGCTTCTTTTAGATGCTTTATTTTCTCTTTTTCTAGCAATCTGTAATGTAATTGTCCCAATTCTGAAGCTGAAAAACTTGAAATAATCAGTCCAATGACTCGAGCTACAGTTCTTATTTTTGCTAGATCTTGATTTATTAAACACTTACATTCTTCATAAATAATATCTTTCTTCTCCTCAGTCAGTTCAATAATCATTCTCTCAGAATTTATTTTGTTTCCCAAGAATGTGATACATTTTTGAGGTTCGAATTGACTTTTCTTTCTATGAATCACAAAACCAAATTTCTCAAGATATTCTCTTGTAATGTTCACATTCATTCTGCATTCATCAATAGTATCCCCAAACAGTAGAACATCATCAATGTAGGTCATACTAAGATAACCTAATGTTCTAAGCTTAGCAAAAATTGGTTTGAGAACTTTTGTGAATATTCTAGGTGCTGATGACAAACCAAATGGTAAGCAGGTATATTGAAATATTTTTCCTTTCCATCTGAATCTCAAATACTTTTGATGCTCAATTGCTATTGGAATTGTATGATAGGCATGTCTTATGTCAATTGATGCCATAAAACAATTTTCCTTGACCAGATTTACTGCAGATTCGAAAGTATCCATCTTGAAATGACGGTATACCACATGTTCATTTAAATTTTTCAAATTGAGGATAACTCTGTATTCCCCATTTTTCTTTGGTCTAACAAAAATAGATGAAAGAAACTGATCTGGTCCAGGAATTGCCTCGACAATGGCTCCCATTTTAAATAAATTCTGAATTTCTTGATCGATCACTTCAGATTCTACCGAGTTAAACACAGGTTCATACAAACTACATTTTGTTGGAGCTGCATTATCTATAAATTCTATTTTGCAATTTTCAACTATCTGTAATATATTTTTATCTGATGTAATTTTTTCCCATTCTTTGGAAAAATATTTCAATCTACCTGCAAAAAATTCATCATTTTTCTCACTAACCTCATTCTTTATTGATTCTTGTTTTTCTGCTGTGACAGTGTCGTATTGCTCTTCTTGAAGTTTTTTGGATAGAATTGGCCACTACTTCTGTTTGGATAGTTAGGATTGTATGCAGTGTTGTTGTTGTAATAATTTCCACGTCCTCTAGGTCTACGACCAGGACCTCTGAAACGTCCTCTCATTCTCCCTCGGAATGATCCACCTCTGTTCAGTTTGTGACCAATCTTGCTGCAATCTTCAATTTCTTTTGCAGTTTTTGAAATATCGTCACCAAATAACCAAGACGTATAAGGTACAGTTTGTGCACATAAGTGCAAGTATTCGTATCTTAATTCTGGTTTTATAAACTCACGTCTTGTCATATTTACTTGTTTGTTTGCATGTCCAAATAGAGCCAAGCTGTCATTGCATTCATCTATAATTTTTCCCAACTTCGTTTTCTGTGTATCATCTAATTCATTTTCCACATCTGCCAACTTGTTCACAACTTTGGCCAGAATGATAGAACCTTTAATAACAGAAGCTTCTGTGTTTTGCATTTTTCTATCAATTGTTTTAGCTTCTTGAGATATAATATCCCAAACGAGTTGGTTTGTCTTCACAACTTTCAGACCTTCACAATTTTCTGGTCTTGCATTATTTTCATCTTTAATCATATCTGAATACTGATCTTCATTCATTCCATTTCTAAACAAATCTGTTATATTTGTAGCCAAAGTCTCATCTATTTTCACATCACACACTTCTCTGCTTTTAAATCTTTTACTCATGTTCTTAAAACGACTTGAACTTTCTTGAACAACTTCTGTGTCCAAATGATCACTCTTCCTTTTTCCAGAAGCATTATCTGAATTTTCAACATTATCATCTGTACGCTGAACATTATTACAACTCTCGTCGTATGTCTGATCATCATCGTAACCTTCATAATCATCACATTCTTGAAATTCGTTTTCTATCATATTGATCTTATTGTTCAATGTACCAATCTGTTCATCTTGTTTTTTCTGATTTTCAAGAATTGTATTCAGTATACACATAATTTGATTATCGTTTTGTGTATTACCGCTGTTGTGGACATCGGCCACAACTTTCACAGGTTTTTTCGTCCCGCTGGACCTAGTGCTTGTAGCGCTTACCGTACTGCCGACAGAACTACCATGCTTCTTAGTCTTTGTTCCCTGAACCTCGACTTTAGAGTTCTTTTTAGTAACATCGTTACTTTTACATGTTCCGTCTGTCTTTTCTGTGTCTACTTCTTCTTCAAAGCAAGTAGTACTTCGTAATTGTTTCTTTTGAATCATCTGTTCCGCCATTTTTTACGACTTTATCATAAAGTAGTCGAAAAACCGCTTTATGGTAGTCGTAAGCACAAAACTCCTCGAGTTTTGTTGATAATAGTCGTAAAAAACAGAACTCCTCGAGTTCTGTAATTAATAAAATCTTATCAATGTGTCAAACGAAAAAATAGTTAACCACGTTAACTTAGACACGAACTGAAGTTGCTAATTGAAGGACCACGTCCTTCTTCGTTCATAACTCGTACCACACTGAGGTTGCACATGCGTACTACTATCTCACATAATTCCGGAAGTAATTATGACGAAATAGAATTGATGTCATGCAGATATCTTAACCAAAATATCAGAACAATCTGATGACTCTTAAATAAAAAGTTCTCATTATACTAGTCAGAAACCATTAGTCTACCTGTCAAACAAAAAATTTGAATGTCAACTCAACAAAGTAAGTATAGGGTTCCTTTTCTTCAAAAAGTAAAATTTTGATGGATTGGGTGAGTGTTTGTTACTTTATGCCTATAAAGAAAAATATATGCCCTCCATTTTGACTGTATGGATTAAGAACTGTTTATATAATTGAATCAAACTTATTTCTTTCATGTCATTCTTAATGTCATAGTACCCATCATTCATAATATGTACAAGTCTCAATCCTAATAGATGAATCCACATTTTGTT